CGCCGAAGGGAAGTGGAGGGGGTTTGTTTTGACCGGCCAGTGCTTCCCATATACTACTTCTGTGTGTTTAGTAGGCTGAATATATGCTTTTGAAATCGTAATTCCTCATCGAAGTTTTTTTTTATACGCATCTATTAGGAATTTCCGACAGGGAAACATTCCAAACTACATTCAACATTAAACATAGCATCTGATACGATAGAAGCAGAAAATAGTTGTAACAGTAGTTTCACAAATGTCTGTGATACAAATAATATTTTGTCTCAAGGTATTAATGAAATGAGTGAATCAAGTGTAGATTCACTGTCTGATAAAGAAAGCCATGAAGAATATATTGATTCACTATCTGATAGAGAAAACAACGAAGAACATGGTATTGAAACACAATATTATGTTTCTAATATAAGTACAATCGTTGATTGTAACAGTAACCCTAGTTTAACGGAAGATTTACAAAAACTAATCGTCGAAAAAAATGTTACACATAGTATTGCTAATGAGTTACTTGCAATTTTAAGGAAACATGGTCATGTAGGTTTGCCTAAAGACATGAAAGTGTTACTTCAAACGCCACGAAATGTATACGCAAATATTAAATCTGTAGGTAGCGGCCACTATATACATTTCGGTATTTTCCGTACTCTAAAACGATCTATACAAATATATTCTCAATTTATTAAAGGAAATGAAATAAAATAAAATATTAATATTGATGAACCACTTTTAAAAAGTTCTGGCAGCCAATTTTGGCCCATTATGGCATCTATTGAAAATATAGATACGTATATACATTGCCTTTTATAATTGATATTTACCATGGCATGTGCAAGCCTGATGACGCTAACGATTTTCTATTCGACTTTGTTAATGATTTTATTCTTCTTTCTCAAACAGGCATTATTGTTTCTAATAAAAAATATACAGTAATTCTTAATTCAATATTAAGTGATGCTCCAGCGAAATCCTTTATTACCTACACAAAAGGTCATACAGGATATTTTTCTTGCTCGAAATGTATTCAAGAAGGTGACTTTGTACGTAAAACAGAGTAGTTTTTTTTAGAAACTCACAGCATGTTAAGTACAGACGACCCATTAAAAAATCGTTTACATATTGAGCACCATACCAGGTGATTCCATTTTAGAAAAACTCGCCATTGGAATGGTATCTCAAATCCCATTAGATTACATGCACCTTATTTGCTTAGGCGTTGTAAAACGATTGCTGCAACTATGGGTCAAAGGAAATAGAGATATTAGATTATCTTCAGAGGCTGTAAATTCAATTTCATATTATTTACTTTCATCGAGATCCTTTATTCCAGTAGAATTTGCGAGAAAACCTAGAAAATTAGATGAAATTGATAAACGGAAGATCGCCAATTTCTGTTTTATACTGGAATTGTTATGAAATCAGTATTGCCTACAAATTACTACAATCATTGTCTTAGCCTTAGTATTGCGATCAGGATATTAACTGATGAACAAGTATGTATGCCATTTAACGCTTATGCAAACTCATTGTTATTATACTCCGTTTCCAACTATGGAAATATTTATGGCAACGAATACATATCGCACAATGATCATAATCTTTTACATCTTTCTGATGATGTGCAAAATTTCGGTTGTTTAGAGTAGATAACTTTAGTTGCTTCAAGTATGAAAATCATATACAAAAAATAAAAAAAAAGTTACATCAATTGGCGACACCCTTACAGGAATTTTCTAATCGTATTTCTGAAGAGTTATTGCTTCCTATTCTAACATGTAAAGAGCAACAGTATCCAATTGTTTTTTTATAAGAAAAATAACGTTATTTCTCATGTTCAATATAAAAATTTTTAAATGGCAACCAATCAAGCCGACAACTGTGCTATTCTTTGCGACAAATCTGTAATATTTATCTTGGATATATTTGAGGTGGACGGTGTTTGTTATTTTCAAGCAAAACATTTTTTAAATCCAAAGAATTTTTTTGATGTTACGTGTTCTTCGAAAAGATTTGGAATATTTATAATATCAAAAAATACTACATAATTAAAATTTCAATAACGCAAATAAAAAAAAGTGCTTGAAAATTAAAAGTTTTGATGAAATTGATTCTTATATTATAACACTACAAGCCACTAATAATTAGATGTTATAACTTTGGTTGAATGTAATTTTATTTCAGTTTTGTACGCATTTTATGTAAAATTTATGCATCATTTCTTTCGCTTTTACATTAAATATTGCCAAAAGGAATTTCTTTTTTCAAATGAATGGATAACAACAATTTAAAGGTAAGTGTTGTGTTTTTCTACTCGAAAAAGAACTATTGCACCAAATTATAAAGTCCAAGTAATACTATCTATCAATTATTGTACTAAATTAAAAAATAGAATCCAAGTGGTACTATTTTTGTTATTTACTTAATTCTAATGATATGTATCATTTGTATAAATAGATATTATATATTATATATATATATAAATTTGTCAATTTTCTGTTTATATGTATATATATATATATAATTATCTTTCATTTTATTACAAAGTAATGAAGAAAGTCAGTAAAAAAAAAATTAGAAACGTTTTGATGCTCTTTGACAAAAAAAATAATCACTATCACAACTGTTACCATTTTAATGATATTATGTTAAACTTTCTTGTTTAAGTAACAGACTATTGATGTCTCTCTCTCTCTCTCTCTCTCTCTCTCTCTCTCTCTCCCTCTCTCTCTCTCTCTCTCTCCCTCTCTCTTTCATTACAAATTAATTTTTTGTTTTCAGTTTTTGTGAGATTGGATATTTTCCTCGTTATAAGACAAACAAGGAAAATAAAAAGTATGCGGTAGTTCAATTTTTGTGTGATTTTTCGTGTTCTGAAATTCCAACGGCATGGCTTTTTAAAGAAAAGAATACTCAATATCGTTGGTGGCCTCCTAGAACGGCAAACACTGCAATATTAATAACAAATTGCGAAAGACCTGATTTTTCTACATAGAAACATTATGAAGTGAACATCTTAAAACATTGTGGTTAATATTTGCGTTTACAGGGTGTCCAGCCCCACTCTTGCACTCTCCCACAGGAAAGTAGATGGGATCGAAATAAACATAAAAGTCCTTTACCGTTTAGCGATATCCGTAATAATAATCGAGATATTAAAGTTTGAAATTGTACTAATGAGAGCGCGCCTATAGAAAGAATAGAAACGGCTCCGGTCGCTCGAGGTATAGCCCGGCCCAGTTTGACAAACGATGGATGCGGCGGCAGGAGAGACAAGAGGGGAAGCGCGCCGTTGCTTAGGCATCGCCGCTCACACATCTCACCGCACAGCACCAAAGGACTCGCGCGATGGCTGTTACGCACATTCGCGATTTCATTACATATGTAATAATAACGATAAAAATCAATTAGATTTTCCGTAGATTTCCATAGGTTTCATCGCTATCTCTCTTTCGACATTTTTATTCATCGAAGTTTATTATGGTTTGTATTTGTCCTGTTTATTATTACATATGTTATTATTACATATGTAATGAAATCGCGAATAAATTGCGCCGTTGCTTAGTGCTCGGCATCGCCGCTCACACGTCTCACCGCACCGCACCAAAAGACTCGCGCGATAGCTGCTACGCATATTCGCGATTTCATTACATATGTAATAATAACATATGTAATAATAAATAGGACAAATACAAACCATAATAAACTTCGATGAATAAAAATGTCGAAAGAGAGAAAGCGATGAAACCTATGGAAATCTACGGAAAATCTAATTAATTTTTATCGTAATCTGTCGCTTTTCTAAATCGAAAGGAAAAAGTTTTAAGAAAAAAGTATCAGTAGTGATGCTATGAGAGTTCTAACTCGGGAACTCCGAGGGGAATGCGGGGCGCGGGGGATTCTTCGGTAGTGGGGGTATGACATCATGCGAAGTGGCGGCAAGGCATCACAGATTTTGGGGACTGTAGTCACGTACAAGACAACAAAAAAACACAAAAAGAGATTATTACAATGAACAAAAAACAATACAAAAAAACAAATGGTTATAAACGAAAAGTGTTACAAAGGGTATTCGCCGGTATATGCTCCAATCGTTTTTCGGCCAAGATATGGCATAATATAATTTTTCTAGAAACAACATTTATTAATTATTTTAAATACCTAAATACGAACAAGTTTCATAATTAATCGATTGAGCGCCAACATTTGGCTGCTATCGAAATCGATGATATTGAAACGCAATGTCTCCCATGATAAAAGAGCCTCGATCATTTATTCTTTTTTGGAAAGGACATGACAATCGAACATGTTTTTTGCCAATATGTTTCAAGGTTAGTAGAAGTATAAGTGAAACTCGATAGAATTGTATTTTCATAAATTTTTATGAGGGTAAAAAGCATGTCTAAGATAAGTACGTAAAGATTTGTTGCGATAGAAATGATTGATATTTCGAGCGCCGACATCTGTCTGCTATTAAAAATCAGTATTTGTGTTTTATACGTATATGAAACGAAAGGAATTGAAAGACTTTAAGTGAAACACTTTAAGTGAAATTCTAGAATTTTAAAATTTCTTAAGTTTATGAGGATTATAATTTTGAAGCAAAAAGCTTTTCCTAAAAAAAAGATGAGAAAAACGATATCTTCGGTTGAAGAGAAGGGTTACAATATGAATTTGGGTCTAGAAATGCACAGTCTAAAAGCGAACTTTCGTAAAATCGTGTCATAGAGTTGTATACTGAATAATTGATGGAAAATATAGTGCATATCGTCCGTAACATACCAGAAGAAGACCTGATGGACATCGTCGACGAGGTATTCGAAGATGCGAATTTTGAAGATATAATGGACGATGATGATAACGTATCCGCATTATCGGACGATAGTGGTTGTAATAGTGATCAGAGTGAGGATCGGAGTGATGAAGGCACTAAGAACAAAATAATATATCCTCAGGAAGTATTGGCACTGAACGAGCTGACAAAACAGTGTGCGATATATTTTTATTACACAACGGGTGGTTTATCAATTTTGTGCACATCGTGTATGGTGAGATTAACGAACACTGAACACATGTACATCATGCGTAAATATGTTATTAAATCGCATGCAGCCATAGATGGCAAATACTGTTCGGAGTGCAGAAGACCATGTTTTGTAATATTTTCATGTAATATGTGTCCTATTTGTACAAATTAAAAAAGATTCGAACTGTGTACACGCACCGGCAGGAATGGTGTCCCTCGGCGTACGGCGCTCGACGCTACACACTCGTACCGAAGTTCACACGTACGTGTTATTGGAAGCATGCAAGCTATTACAATGAGTAATAAATTACACGTAATTATGCACAAAAATTTTTTACAGTATTAAGAATTTTTATGCATAATTACATCATTTTGTGCATAATAAAAATATTATGAATATTGGCGAGCGAAAGACACCGGGGGATCTCACTCGCGCTAGTAACAAATGTGTGAGACAGCGAAAGGACACCGCGAGCCGACATCACGTCCAATTACGCTTTCTCTCTCAATCGTGCGTCTTACGCTAAGGATGGAATATCGGAGCGCCCCCCACTACTTTCTCCCTTCGCGCTCTTCGCCTCCTCCGCGATTCCAGTAACACGTACGTGTGAACTTCGGTACGAGTGTGTAGCGTCGCGCACCGAACGCCGAGGGACACCATTCCTGCCGGTGCGTGTACAAGTGTATAAAACGTTGTATATAGGCAATGTATATAGGCAGTGTATATAGGCAGTGTATATATAGATAGTGTAAAAGCTTTTTATCATTCAATCTTAAGCTTCCGTGACGAGCGTTAAGACAAAGTAAAAGTATGGACAAAATAAAAGAATGTATACGTCGAAAATCGATCGAGCGCAAGGGGTACCGTCGATTGTCACCCAAGTCCGCCAAGTCCATCATCACCGTCGAGGGAGAAAGAGATACTGGGAATATCCTGGAGACAAAACATCGAAGTCGCCAATGTTTCCATCAACGTCGGCAAAATATGAGTCAAACGTATGTATCTTCTTTGTTTACAAATGCGTTTGTGGCGACTAGTGTTAATGCGTTTTATTCTCCGTTAAAAAAAAGAACAGTAATGAACAAGTTTTTTTGTTCTCTTTTTTCCAGAAAGCGCTGCTACTGATGCTCAAGCCACCAAACGCCGCTAATCTTAGCCGATGCCCG